GCCTGGCCAGGGACACTCAGAGACCCCAGGAGCACCCAGAGACCCCCACAGGAGCACCCAGAGACCCCCAGGAGCACCCAGAGACCCCCCCAGGAGCACCCAGAGACCCCCCCAGGAGCACCCAGAGACCCCCAGGAGCACCCAGAGACCCCCAGGAGCTCACCTGCTGGGCCGTTTTGGTTTTGTGTTTCTCCTTTTTGTCCTTGGGCTCTTTTGGGGTGCCGGGGGTGCCCGGGGGTCCCGGGGGGGGCTCGGCGGGGGGGGGCGGCCACGTAGGTGCGTCTGTCCCCGTCCCAGTACAGGTACTGCCCCGCCCCCGCGTCGTAATAGTACTGCAGGGGGGGTTTGGGGGGGTCAGCACCCCAAAACCCACGCTTGGAACGCCAAAAATGCCCACTTGAAACCCCCAAAATCATCCTTCAAACCCCCAAAATTCACCCGCCAAAATCGCCCCTCAAAAGCCCCAAAATTGTCTCCCAAAATGGCCCCTTAAGACCCCAAAAAATCATCTCTTTGTACCCCCAAAATCTCCCATTTCAACCCCAAAACCGACCCTTGGACACCCCAAAAATCCCCACTTGAAACCCCAAAAATCCCCCCTTGGAACCCTAAAAATTCCCCCTCAAAATCGCCAAAAATTATCCCTTTCTACCCCGAAATTGTCCCTTAAAATCCCCACAAATTCACCTTGAAACCCCAAAATCGCCCCCAAAATTGTCCCTTAAAACCCCCAATAATATCCCTTTGTACCCCAAAATCGTCCCTTAAAATCCCCAAAATTCCCCCCCTCAAAACCCCAAAAATCGACCCCCAAAATTGCCCCTCAAAACATCAAAAATTATCCCTTTGTACCCCAAAAGCCACCCTTGGAACCCAAAAATCCCCACTTGAAACCCCAAAAAGCACCCGCCAAAATCGCCCCTCAAAACCCCCAAAATTGCCTCCCAAAACTGCCCCTTAAAACCCCCCCAAATCTCCCCTTGGAACTCCTAAAATCATCCCTTTATACCCCCAAAATCTCCCATTTTAACCCCAAAACCGACCCTTGCAAACCCCAAAATTCCTCCCTGAAACCCTAAAATCTCCCCCAAAAATCACCTCTTAAAACCCCCCAAAGTTATCCCATTTCTACCCCAAAATCGCATCTTTGTACCCAAAAAATGCACGTCAAAACCCCCAAAATTGCCTCCCAAAATTGCCCTTAAAACCCCAAAAATCTCCCTTTGGAGCCCCTAAAAATCATCTGTTTGTACCCCCAAAATCTCCCATTTCAACCCCAAAACCGACCCTTGGACACCCCAAAAATCATCTCTCAGAACCCCCAAAATCATCCCTTGGAAGGCAAAAAATCGCCCCCCCAAACACAAAATTATCTCTTTGTACCCCAAAATCTCCCCTTGCAAGCCCAAAAATCCCCCTTGAAACCCCAAAACTGCCCCTAAATATCACCCCTCAAAACCGCCCAAAATTATCCCTTTGCACCCAAAACTACCCCTTAAGCCCCCCCAAAATCATCCCTTTGTACCCAAAACCAACTCTTGGAAACCCCAAAATCCCCCGTTGAAACCCCAAAATCCCAACGCCCATCCCAAATCCAAAACCCCAAAACCTCCCACCCTGAAATTGCCGTTTTCACTCCCAAAAATTCAAATTTTTCCCTCAAAATTCCAACTTTTTCATCCAAAACTTCACTTTGTCACCCCAAATTTTTGGGAAGCCCGAATTCCTCCCCTGCACCCCAAAACCCCAAACCCCAATCTAAACCTAAACCCCCAAACCTCCCCACCCTTAAAATGCCATTTTCAGGCCTAAAAATTCAATTTTTTTGCCCAAAATTCCAATTTTTTTTGCCCAAAACTTCACATTTTTCACTCCAAATTTCACCCCAAATTTTTGAGGGACCCCGAAATTACTCCCCCGCACCCCAAAACCCAAACCTGGGAGTGGGGGGTCGTAGTAGAGCCCCGTGAGGGGGTCGTAGTAATACCCCGAGGTCTCGTCGTACTGGTAGGTGGAGACGTCAGGCACAGCTGGGGGGGCACAAAGGGGCGATTTTTGGGGGTCCCCCAAAATTTTTGGGGGTCCCTGAAATGTTTGGGGTCAGCCCCAGGATCCCCCAATCCCAGGAAATTCTAGGGTACCCCAAAATTTGGGGGAATTTGGGGTTGGGAAGGGGGTGGGGTTGGCATGGGAAAAGCCAAAATTTTCCCCAAAATTCTTCCTCAGGACCCCCCAAAATTCCCCCCAGAACCCCCCAAAATTCTCTGGGTTCCCCCCAAATCCTTCAGCCAACCTGAAGCAAACAAAGCTCCTCCAAATTCCTCCAGAACCTCCCAAAATTCCCCCAAATCCCCCCAGAATTCCTCTAAAATCCCCCCCAAAACACCCCCGGGATGCCCAAAATCCCCAAATTCCCCCAATTCAACGCCTCAGAACCCCCCAAATCCCCCCAAAATGCCCCAAATCCCCTCAGGACCCCCCAAAATCCCCCCAGGACCTCCAAAAATCCCCCAATCCCCCCTCTAGATGCCCAAAATCCCCCCAAAATCCCCCAAATTCTCCCCCTAGGACCTCCCAAGATTCCCCCAAACCCTTCTCAGGACCCCCCAAAATCCTTCTCAGGACCCCCCAAAATCCCCCTACCCTCTCCCCAAAAACCGACCAAAATTCCTCCAAAACTCCTCCAAAATCCCCCAAAATCCCTCCCCAAAATCCCCCAAAGACCCCCCAAGATCCCCCAAATCCCTCCCAGGACCCCCAAAGATCCCCTGAAATCCCCCCACAAATTCTCCCTGAAATCCCCCCAAATCCTCCCCAGATTGTCCCAAACCTTCCCCAGGACCCCCCAAACCTCCCCCAGACCCCCAAAATCCCCCCCCCCAGGACCCCCAAAATCCCCCCAAATCCTCCCAGATCCCCTCAAATCCCCCCCAAGAACCCCCAAATCCCCCTAGGACCCCCCTAAACCCCCCCAGGACCCCCCAAATTCTCCCAATTCTCCCCACAGAATGCCCCAAATTCCCCTGAAATCCCCCGAATCCCCCCCAGATTGTCCCAAACCTCCCTCAGGACCCCCCCAAATTTCGACAGGACCCCCAGATCCCCCTAGGACCCCCTAAACCCCCCCAGGACCCCTTAAATCTGCCCCAAATTCTCCCAGTTCTCCCCCAAATCCCCCTAGGACCCCCAAACTCCCTCCCAGGACCCCTCAAATCCCCCTAGGACCCCTAAACACCCCAGGACCCCACAGAATGCCCCAAATCCTCCCCAAATCCCCCCCAAATCCCCCTGAAATCCCCCCAAATCCTCCTCAGAATGTCCCAAACCTTCCCCAGGACCCCCCCAAACCCCCCCAGGAACCCCTAAGGTCCCCCAAAATTCCTCCCCAAACCTCCTAAATCCCCCCAGGACCCCCCCAATTCTCCCAATTCTCCCCACAGAATGCCCCAAATCCCTCCGAATCCCCCCCAGAATGTCCCAAACCCCCCCAGGACCCCCCAAATCCGCCCCAAATTCTCCCCCAAATCCCCCCAGGACCCCCCCAAAGTCCCCCCCAGGACCCCTCAAATCCCCCTAGGATCCTCTAAACCCCCCCAGGACCCCCAGATCCCCTAAATTCTCCCAATTCTCCCCACAGAATGCCCCAAATCCCCCCCAAATCCCCCTGAAATCCCCCCAAGATGCCCTAAAATCCCCCCAGATCCCCCCAAATCCCCTCCAGGACCCCCCCAAATCCCGCCAATCCCCTCCCCCACTCACGGTACTGCCCGTAGCCGTCGCTGCTGGGGGGGGCGGCCGGGGGGGGCCCCGCGGGGGCCGAATTTGGGGTCTCGGCCTTGAGGGGCCCCGAGTAGGTCTGGGAGAAGGGGGAGGAGCACCCCAAAATTAACCCCCAGCCCCAAAACCCCCCAAAACACCCCCTGAAACCCCTCACCCCTTTTTGGGGATCCCCCTTGCCAATTTAAGCCCCCCCAGGTACAGCCCTAACCCCTCATTTTCCATAATTTTGGGGTCTCTTCCCCCCCTTAAGGACCCCCCCCAATCGCCCACCCCAATTTTGGGGTCCCTCCTCCCTTCGATGATCCCTCCCCTCCATTTTTTGGGGTCTTCCCAAATGTTGGGACCCCTCCCCAATTTTGGTTCCTTTTCCTTCCCCTCCCCCCCATTTTTTTGGGTCTCCCCTCCTTTCCAGGACCCCTCCCCTCAATTTTTTTGGGGTCCCTCCATTTCACAACCCCATCTCTCTATTTTTTAGGGTCCTCCCAGATTTTGGGACCCCTCCCCAATTTTGGCTCCTTTTCCTTCCCCTTCCAACCCAATTTTTGGGGTCCTCCTCAATTTCACGACCCTTCCCCTCAATTTTTTGGGATCCCCCCCCAAATTTTGGAGCCCCTCCCCAATTTTTGCCCCTTTTCCCCAATTTTTGGGGTCCCCCTCCCTCCCCATTTCAGGACACCCCTCCCCGTCCAATTTTGGGGTCCCACCTGGCCGGGGGGTCCCGAGGGCGCGGCCGCGGGGGTCTCGGTGGTGGGGGAGGGGTAGGGGGCGGCGCCAGGGGGGGCGCGGGGGGGGAAGGGCCCCCCCCCTGCTGCCCCTCCCCCCCCTCCCCCCGCGGGGTCCTGGGGCGGCTCCTCCGCACCTGCAGGGGGCGCCAAAGTGACGTCATTGGGGGGGGGGGGAACACACCTGGGGGGGGTGGGGACATCTGGGGACACCTGAGAAGGGGAGGGGACACACCTGGGGACATCTGGGGGAGGAAGGGACACACCTGGGGATACCTGGGGACACCTGGGGGGGGTGCTGGGAACAGCTGGGGACACCTGAGAAGGGGAGAAACACACCTGGGGACACCTGTGGAGGAGAGGGGACACACCTGGGGACACCTGGGAACATCTGGAGAGGGAAGGAGACACACCTGGAAGGAGCTGGGCACACCTGGGGACACCTGAGAAGGGGAGGGGCTACACCTGGTAACATCTGGGGACTCCTGGGGACACCTGGCGGGGCTGGAGAGGGGAGGGACCACACCTGGGGACACCTGGGAACATCTGGAGTGAGCTGGGAACACCTGGGGACACCTGGGGAGGGGAGGACCACACTTGGGGACACCAGGGGAAAGCTGGGGAGGGGAGGTGCCACACCTGAGGACACCTGGGAACACCTGGAGGGGGGTGGGAATACCTGGAGAGGGACGGGGGAATACCTGGGAACACCAGGGGAGGGGAGGGGCCACACCTGGGAACATCTGGAGGGAGCTGGGAACACCTGGGGACACCTGAGAAGGGGAGGGGCCACACCTGAGGGGGGTGAAGGCCACACTTGGGAACACCTGGGGACACCTGGAGGGGCTTGAGGACACCTAGAGACACCTGAGGAGTGACGGGACCACACCTGGGAACATCTGGGGGAAAGAAGGTCACACCTGGGGACAATCTGGGGGGATAAGGGCCACACCTGGGGATACCTGAGAACAGGGACCACACCTGGGGACCTCTGGGGAGGGCGGGGACCACACCTGGGGACATTGGAGGGGATTGAGGACACCTAGAGACCCCTGGAAGGGAAGGGACTCACACCCAGACACACCTGGAAGGTGACGGGACCACACCTGGGAGCACCTGGGGAGGGTAAAGTCACACCTGGGGACACCTGGGGACAGGAGCCAGCCCTGGTTCGGTGCCAGCACTCACCGGGGGCGGGGCCGTCGGCCTTGGCGGGGGCGGGGCCAGGCAGGGCGGGGCCGGTGGGCGGGGCCGAGGCTCCTTTCAGGTAGGCGGGGCTGTAGAGGGCGGGGCTAGGCCCGGGGAAGGGCTCCTCTGATTGGTAGAAGCCGCTGAAGTCAGCGCTGGGCTCCTCCCCCCCCGCCCAGGGCGTGTCCCCACCTGGGGCTGCCTGGGGAGAAACATGAAAAGCTTTAAATAGTCATAATTTTAAACTTTTTATGCTGAAAAATATGAATTTAAAAGAAATTGTCTCATTCTTATACAATATTATAGAACACATGGTTATATGTATATATTTATACACATAAACATATATATTTATATGATTTTATTTTGCTTTTTATTACGTATTATACGCATTATCATGTATTACTATATAAAATATTTTGCATTGCACGTATACGTGTTTATACTACTTTATATAATACATGAACATGTTTTCATTTATATAAAGACACAACTATATGATTATAAATAGCTGTACATATGTGCATTGTTTCAGACTATAACTACGTGTATTTTATATTTGTATATAAAGATAAATTAGCACATATAATATATAAAATAAATGTACATATTTTGTACGTGTGTATAAATGTATTATCTGATATGATATATAAAATAAGCAAAATGGAATATATAAATGCAAATAAATAAATACATAATATAAAAATAAAATATAATACGTAGCACACAAAGTAAAGGAACAAGCAATTTTAAGTTAAATAAGTTAAATAAAACAATTAGCTTTTTTTCAATAAAATTAAATTATATGAGACTCTGTAAAAAGTCATGCCATTCACCTCCGACAGTGCCCACCTGCCCAGCTGTGCCCCTCCCCTGCCCAGGTGTGCCCTCACCTGTGACAGTGCCCTCACCTGCCCAGGTGTGCCTTAACCTGGGACACTACCCCTCCCGTGCCCAGGTGTGCCCTCACCTGTGACAGTGCCCCTCCCCTGTGACAGTGCCCCTCCCATGCCCAGGTGTGCCCTCACCTGTGACAGTGCTCTCACCTGCCCAGGTGTGCCCTCACCTGTGACAGTGCCCCTCACCTGCCCCTCCCATGCCCAGGTGTGCCCTCACCTGTGACAGTGCCCACTGGGCAGCAGCAATGGCCGTGGAGGCGACGGAGGCGGCGCTGGCGCGAGGAGGCCCCTCCCCAGGCCCCGCCCCCTGCACGTCCCTGGGGGTGGAGCTTCATGTCAGGGGCGTGGCCTGAGGCCTGGGAGGGGCTGGGTGGGCGGGGCCAAAGGACAGTGGGGGTCGGGCCTGTTTGATAATGGGGTGCGGCTTTTGGTGGGGGTGTGGCCTGTGTTGGGTGGGGCTCATGGGGTGGGGCTTAAGGAATTGGGTGGGGCTTAAGTGATCAGGAACAGTTACAGGTACAGGGGTGGGGCTGTGGGCGGGGCTTGGGCTGTGGGCAGAGCTTGTGCCAGGGGCAGTGACAGGGCAGGGCCAAAGGGGCGGGGCCTGTGCCAGGTGTGTGACTGTGCCAGGTCAAGGCTGGGGGCAGGGTCTCTGCCAGGTGTACGAAGATGCCAGGATGGGGACAGGGCCCTCGCCCAGGTGCACTGCCACGCCCAGATGTGAAGCCACGCCCAGGTGCGAAGCCACGCCCAGGCCAATGCCACGCCCAGGTGTGGTGCCACGCCCCCCTCACCTCTTGGAGCCCTTGGCGAACTCCACGTTGATGCTCTTGCCGTCGATGTGCAGGGGTGGGTGCAGGGCCTGCAGCATCTGCAGCAGCTGTGCAGCCTCCTGCAGGGGGATGGGAGGGGCAATGGGGCAGGGGGCACCGGGTGGTCCCACCCCCCTTGGTCCCTCCCAGTCCATCCCAGTCCCTCCCAGTAATTCCCAGTCCCTCCCAGTGCCCACCACATGTCGATCTGGGTGCTGTACTCGGTGAAACCCAGCAGGATGTGCCCATTCCAGTCCTCCCTAGTGCTCCCCGTTCCCCAAATCCCTCCCAGTTGCCCCCAGTCCCTCCCAGTTCCTCCCAGTACCCACCACCACATGTCGATCTGGGCGCTGTACTTGGTGGCGCCCAGCAAGATGCCCCCATCCCAGTGCCCCCCCAGTCCAACCAGTCCTCCCCAGTTCCCCCAGACCCTCCCAGTCCCCCCCAGTCTCTCCCAGTCTCCCCAGTCCCTCCCAGTGCCACGACGGTGCTGAGCTGCACGAAGGCAAAGCCGCGCTTCAGCTGCGTTTGCCAATCTTTGATCACGCCCCCAGTTCCCCCAGTCTCCTCAATTTCCCCAGTCCTCCCCAGTTCCTCCCAGTCCCCCCAGTTCCCCCCAGTCCCTCCCAGTTCCCCCAGTACCACGATGGTGCTGAGCTGCACGAAGGCGAAGCCGCGGTTCAGCTGCGTTTGCCGATCTTTGATCACGCGCACGTTGGCGGCCGAGAGCGCCGCGAAGGGAGCGAGGGCGGCCAGGATGGACTCGAGGCTGCTCTGGGGGTGCAGGTTCCGCAGGATGATGGCTGAGGGGACAACACGCACACCTGGGCACACCTCGGGGCACAGCTAGGCACACCTGGGCAAACCCAGGGGCACCTGGAACCACTTGGGAACACCTGGGGGCACCTGGGAGCAGACCTGGGGGCACCTGAGCACACCTGGGGGCACCTAGAACCACCTGGGAACACCTGGAGATACCTGGGAGCATATCTGGGCACACCTGGGGGCACCTGGAACCACCTGGGAACACCTGGAGATACCTGGGAGCATATCTGGGCACACCTGGGGGCACCTAGAACCACCTGGGAACACCTGGAGATACCTGGGGGCATATCTGGGCACACCTGGGGGCACCTGGAACCACTTGAGCACAGTTGGGGGCACCTGAACACACCCAGCAACACCTGGGCACACCTAGGGGCACACCTGGGGGCACCTGACTACACCTAGGGGCACCTGAGCACACCTGAGCACACCTGGGGACACAGCTGGGCACACCTGAGGACACCTGCAGATACCTCAGGATACCTGGGGGTACACCTGGGAACACCTGGGGGCACAGCTGGGGGCACCTGGGCACACCTGAGCACACCTAGAGGCACCTGGGCACACCTGGGGATACCTAGAGCTATCTCAGGATACCTGGGGGCACACCTGGGGACACCTGGGCACACCTGCAGATACCTCAGGATGTCCCAGGGCACACCTGGGGACACCTGGGGGCAACTGGGGATACCTGGGCACAACTAGGAGGACACTGGGAACACCTGGGGACACCTGAAGAAACACCTGGGGAACACCAGAATCCCTCCACTTCTCCCCCAAGATCCCCTTCAGCCCCTCCTCACAAAGACCCCAGACTCCCCAAACCCCCAAGACCCACAAATCCACCCCAAAATCCCCCCCAAAAAATCCCCAAAATCCCCTAAAAATCCCCAAAATCCCCCAAATCCCCCCAGCCCTGCACTCACTGTCGTTGGCGTTGTCAGCTCCAGGCTCGGTGCCCCCCTGGGACCCCCCGGGGGGACCCCCGAGGGTGGGGCCGTAGGGTTGGGGGAGGGGCAGGAGCCCCCCTCCCCCACCTGGAACCAGCTCCGGACGGGGACCCCCCGGACCCCTCTGCTCGGCCTCTGCACCCCAAAAAAAAGCCAAAATCAGGGATTGAACCTCTCAAAAAACCCCAAAATCAGGGATTGAATCCATAAAAAACTCCAAAATCAGGGATTGAATCCCAAAAAAAACCCCAAAATCAGGGATTGAACCTCCCCAAAAAACTCAAAATTCAGACATTGAACCCCACCAAGAAAACCCAAATCAGGGATTGAACCTCCCAAAAAAACCCAAAATCAGGGGCTGAATCCATAAAAAAACCCAAAATCAGAAACTGAACTCCCCAAAAACCCCAAAATCAGGGATTGGACCACCCCAAAATCAGGGAGTAACCCTCCCAAAAAAACCCCACATCAGAAACTGAACCCCCCAAAAAACCCCCAAATTTAGGGATCAAACCCCAAAACCAGGGATTCAACCCCAAATCCAGGGGGTCCCCTGTACGTTGGGAAGCACCCCAATAATTCTGTAGAGTTTTGGGGAACTTTAGGGCATTTTGGAGGGGGTCCCCCAAAGTTTTGGGGTAAAACCCTGGGATTTGGGGTCACTCACCGGCTTTGGGGACGCCACACTTGAAACATTTCTCACGGCGCTTGAAGTTCTGCACCCCGCACTGGGAACCCCAAAAATGTCAGAGCCCAAAAATGTCACATCCCAAAACTGCTGCACCCCAAAACCACAGCACCCCAAAATGTCACAGACCAAAACCGCTACACCCCAAAACTGCCCCCACCCCCCCCCCAAAACACAGCACCCCAAAAACCATTGCACCCCAAATTTGTCCCACCCCAAAACTGCCAAACCCCAAAACCACCCTGGACCCCCCAAACCCATCCCCAGAGCACCCCAAACTGCAGCACCCCAAAAGCTTTTAAATCCCTCACAACCCCTCCTAGGACCCCCCAAAAATCCTTTCATGAACCCCCCAAATTTCCCCCAGTGCCCTCCCAGTCCCTCCCGAACCCCCCAGTGCCCCCCAATGCACTCCCAGTCCCTCCCAGTACCCCCAGAACCCCCCAGTGCCCTCCCAGTGTCCCCCAAGTCCCTCCCAGTGTCCCCCAGTGCCACCCAGTGTCCCCCAGTGCCACCCCAATGCCCTTCCAGTCCCTCCCAGTGCCCCCAGCACCCCCACATTGCCCCCCAGTGCCCTCCCAGTTCCCCTCAGTGCCACCCAGTGCCCTTCAATGTCCTCCCAGTGCCACCCCAATGCCCTCCCAGTCCCCCTCAGTGCCCCCAGCACCCCCACATTGCCCCCCACTGTCCTCCCAGAGCCTCCCAGTACCCTCAATGCCCCCCAGTGCCACCCCAGTGCCACCCACCTTGGCACAGAGCCAGTCCTCGTTGATTTTGGGTTTGGGGTCACTGTAGTGCAGGGACACGCGGTGCCCCAGCAGGGTCAGCCCGGCCTGGGGGGCACAGCGGCGTCAGGGGGGGCACAGGGACACTTGGGGACCCAGCCTGGCCCTGGGGGGCACAGGGGGGGCACCTGGACACAAATCTAGGGGGGCACCAGGGCTGGAACTGGGGGACACCAAGGTTTGAGGTGGGGACACCAGAGCTTGTCCTAAGGGGCACCAAGGCTGGAATTTGGGGACACCAGGGGGGCACCAGGGCGCGAATCTGGGGGGCACCTGACGGGCACAGGGACACGTGGGGACCCAGCCTGGCCCAGGGGGGCACCAGGACACAAATCTGGGGGGCACCAGGGCTGGAATTGGGGGCACCAGGACATGAATCTGGGGGGCACCTGGGGGGCACCAGGGTGTGAAACTGGGGGGCACCTGGGGGGGCACCAGGACACAAATCTGGGGGGTAGCTGGGGGGCACCAGGACACAAATCCAGGGGGGCACCAGGGCTGGAATCTGGGGACATCAAGACTCATTTTGAGGGGCACCAGGGGGACACCAGGGGGGCACAAATCAGTGGGGGACCAAGCTGGGCACCAGGATATGAACTGAGGGCACCAGGGGTAGAACTGAAGGGCACCAGGACATGAACCAGGGGGGCACCAGGGGTGCACCAGGATGTGAATCTGGGGGGGCACCAGGACACAAACTGGGGGGCACCAGGGGAGGCACCAGGACTGGGATGAGTGGGGAACCAGGACAGGAATTTGGGGGCACCAGGAGGTGCCAGGGCTGGAATTTGGGGGGGGGCACCAGGAGCTGTTCTGAGGGGCACCAGAGCTCGTCCCAGGTGGCACCAGCAGCTGGAATGGGAACACTGGGACACGCACGAGGTCCCTGCACCCGTCCCTGACTGCAGGGACACAGCCACCAGTACAGACCAGTACGGACCAGTACAGACCAGCACAGACTGGTATGGACCAGCACAAACCACAACAGACCAATATGAACCAGTACAAACCAGTATAGACCAATATCACCCCATAGACCCTGTCCCTCCCCCTCCCACTTGGCATCTCCCAAACCTCCACCCCTCCGCCACCCCCTCTGCCCCTCCCTCTTTTTGTTGCCCCACCCCCTTTTCATTGGTCCCTCCCACTTCTGATTGCCCCACCCCTTCTCATTGGCCCCTCCCTCTTTTGATTGTCCCACCCCTTCTCATTGGCCCCTCCCTCTTTTGATTGCCCCACCCCTTATCATTGGCCCCTCCCTCTTTTGATTGCCCCACCCCCTTTTCATTGGCCCCTCCCCTTTTCAATCTTCCCCCCTTTTGGTCGCTCCCCCACCTGTTGGCAATTCCCTCGCCCCTCCCCCTTTTTATTGACCCCTCCCCCTTTTACTGCCCCTCCCCTTTTTAGTGGCCCATCCTTCTCGCTGGCCCCTCCTCCTTTTTAATTGGCCCCTCCCCCACCTGGTTGGCCTCCATCCACCTGGCCGCCTCCTGCACGTGATGGAATTCCACGAAGGCGAATCCACGGCTCTGACCTGGAACGGGCCACGGGGGAGGGGGGGATGGGGGGCACCCATGGGTGCTCTGGGACCCCCTGGGGTGGGGGGGGAGGGGACAAGGGTACCCAGGGACCCGCTGGGGTGGGGGCAGGGCACCCATGGGTGGTGCTGGAACCCCTCAGGGGACCCCCAAGGTGAAAGGTATGGGTGCTCCTGGTGCCCCTCCAGAACCTGGGTGCTCCCTGAGCTGGGTTCAGCACCCCTGGGTGCTCCTGGGGAGGGGTCTGGCACCCCTGGGTACCCCTTAGGCTGAACATGGGGACAGGTCTGGCATCCCTGGCTTTGGATCTGGCACCCCTGGGTGCCCCCCGAGTCTGGCACAGCACCCCTGGGTGCTCCTGAAGAAGGGTCAAGCATCCCTGGGTGCTCCTGAGGAGGCAAAGAGCACCTCTGGGTGCTCCCTAAGGACACGAGTGGCACCCCTGGGTGCCCCTAAAATGGGATCAACAACCTTGGGTGCCCCCCGAGTGTGGCGCAGCACCTCTGGGTGCTCCTGAGAAGGGGAAAAGCACCCCTGGGTGCCCCTAAACAGAAAACTGACACCCCTGGGTGCCCCTAGGGAAGGGATCAGCACCCCTGGGTGCTCCTAGGGAGGGGATCAGCACCCCTGGGTGCTCCTGAGGAAGGGACAGACATCTCTGGGTGCCCCTAGAAATGATGTTGGCACCCCTGGGTGCCCCTGGGAAGAGGATCAGCACCCCTGGGTGCCCCTAGGGAGGGGACAGGCAGTCCTGGGTGTTTCTACAGACACGATGGGCACCCCTGGGTGCTCCCTAAAGACAAACCTGGCACCCCTGGGTGCCCCTGGAGAATGGGATCAGTGGCCTTGGTGCCCTTCCAGTCCGGTGCAGCACCCCTGGGTGCCCCTGGGAATGGGATCAACAGCCCTGATGCCCTTCCAGTGCGGTGCAGCACCCCTGGGTGCCCCTAAAGATGGGACCAGCACCCCTGGGTGCCTCCTAAGCCTGGCAGAAACATCCCTGTGTGCCCCTAGGGAGGGGACAGGCACCCCTGGGTGCCCCTTGGGAGGGATCGGCACCTCTGGGGGCCCCTAGGGAGGGGAAAGGCACCCCTGGGTGCTCCTAGAAATGACACTGGCACCCCTGGGTGCCCCTGGGGATGGGACCAGCACCCCTGGGTGCTCCTAGTGAGGGGACAGGCACCCCTGGGTGCCCCCTGAGTCTGGAACAGCACCCCTGGGTGCCAGTAGAGAGAGGACAGGCACCCCTAGGTGCCCCTAGGGAGGGAACCGACACCCCTGGGTGCCCCTGGAGAAGGGATCAGCACCCCTGGGTGCTCCTGAGAAGGACACAGGCACCTCTGGGTGCCCCTAAGAAGAAGACCAGCACCCCTGGGTGCCCCTAGGAATGGGATCAGCAGCCTCAGTATCCCTTGAGATCAGTACAGCACCCCTGGGTGCCCCCTAAGCCTGCCAGAAGCACCCCTGGGTGCTTCTAAAGATGAGACTGGCACCCCTGGGTGCCCCTAAGGATGGAACCAGCACCCCTGGGTGCCCCTAAAGAGAGGAGAGACATCTCTGGGTGCCCCTAGAACTGGGACCAGCACCCCTGGGTGCCCCTAGGGAAGGGACAAGCACCCCTGGGTGCCCCTAAAGAGAGGAGAGACACCTTGGTGGGTTCCTAGGAAAGGGACAAGCACCCCTGGGTGTCCCTAAAGAGAGGACTAGCACCCCTGGGTGCTCCTAGGGAAGGGACAGAAACCCCTGGGCGCCCCTAGAACTAGGACCAGCACCCCTGGGTGCCCCTAAGGAACAGGACCACCCCCCCTGGGTGCTCCTTGGCATGGGCAGGGCAGGGACCTTCCCCCCTCCAAGGGACCCAGGTGCCAGGGTGCCCCCCACCCTAAAGAGAGCCCAGGTGAGCAGGGGAGGGCCCAGGTGAGCAGGGGAGGGGCTCAGGTGTGACAGATGGGGAGCTCAGGTGAGCAGGGAGGACCCAGGTAAGAAGGGAGGGCCCAGGTGAGAAGGGGAGAGGCTCAGGTGTGACAGATGGGGAGCTCAGGTGAGCAGGAAGGGCCCAGGTCAGACTCACCTGAGGATTTGTTGCGCATCAGCCGCACCTCACGGGGCTGCACCCCCTGCGCCTGCAGCTGTGCCCGGATCTGTGGGGACACGGGGACAGTGGCCATGTCACCTGGGACACAGGACAGCACCCACAGGGACATGGGGACATGTCAGCTGGGACACGGGGACAGCACCCATAGGGACACAAGACAGCCGCCATGTCACCTAAGACATGGGGACAGTGCCTGGAGGGAACACGGGGCCATCATGGCAGGGGGCGGGGCCATCCCAGATAGGGGCGGAGCTATCCCAAATTTGGACAAGGCTACTGTATGTGGGGCGGGGCCATTCCTGATAGGGGGCGGAGCCACCCAGAAATCAGAAGTGCCACCACAGATGGGGCGGGGCCATGATGAAGGGGGTGGGGCCATACGAGCTAGGGGGCGGGGCCATGCCAGGTAGGGGGCGGAGCCATCCCAGAAGTCAGAAGTGCCACCACAAATGAAGATGGAACCAAGATGAAAAGGGGTGGGGCTATCTGAGCTAAGGGGCGTGGCCATCCCAGATTGGGATGGTGTATTGCAGGTGGGGAGGGGCCATCCCAGCTGGGGGTGGAGCCATGATGAAAAGGGGTGGGGCCAACTGAGCTGGGGGCAGGGCCATGATGAAAAGAGGTGGGGCCAACTGAGCTGGAGGTGGGGCCATCAGAGCTAGGAAGCAGGGTCATGATGAAGATGGGTGTGGCCATCTGACTTAGGGGGCGTGGCCATCCCAGAAGAGAGTGGTTACATCATAGGAATGGGTGGGGCTCGTGAAGAGGGGCGTGGCCACCCCAGGAGGGGGCAGAGCCATCCCAGAAGTCAGAAGTGCCAGCACAGATGGGGGCGGGGCCACGAAGAAGAAGGGTGGGGCCAAGTGAGCCGGGGGCGTGGTCACCCGAGAGTGGGCGTGGCCTATGGGGGCGTGGCTCACATCGTTCTCGGTGGCCGCCTGGGGCAGCATGCGCAGCATGACGATGGTGCTGGCGCGCGGCTCCTCCTCGGCGCCCTCCCGGTAATCCTGGTCCCGGTAATCGCCGTCGGCGCCAAACGGCAGCGCCGGGGGCTCCCGGGGAGGCTCCCGGGGCGGATCCCGCTTCCGGGGCGGCTCCGAGCTCTCGTAGGAGCTCTGGAACAGGGGAGGGAGGGGTCATGTTACAGCCCTACCCACTGAAATTTTAAATTCTCTCTACTAAAAAATACCAACCCTCAAGGAAATACTGCATCTAACCTGGAATCATAAAGAAAACTTCCAAAATCAAACAAAAACCCTGAAATTATAAGCGTATAACTTAAATAAGAACATGCAATGCCATACAAAAAAGACCCCTCACAATTCCAAGTTTTATACTATAATATTACATATACAAAATAAAAATTTTAAAATGAAATCTAATCCTTGTTCTTCACCTTCTTCACTAAAAAATTAAGAAAAATTTTGAAATTACATAAAAAACTTTATATTACGAGGCACAGTTAGGTGCTGAATTAGAAATATAAACAATTCAAGTATCATTTTTTAATTAGACAGCTTATCTCTGAAAGACCTTGTAAAGACTACTTTTATTGCATTTATTATAGCTATTTCAAGTATATTTATATATATTTTACTGTTTTATTATTGCTAATTATATCTGGTTTTTTACCAAATTTATATATTTAATGTTTTTTTAGCTCATTACATTATGCCACCCACAAAACTCATAACTTATAAAATACATTAAAACGAGTACCTAACATCTAATATCTACATATTACAATACAAAACTACCTATAAAATACATAAAAACAAATACCTAATATCTAGTTGTAAACAAAACTTAAGTTCTTAATATTTTATTTTTGCTAACTTTGTTTGTCTATTTAATACATTTACATATTTATCATACTCTTAGTTCATTGCATTAGCACACTACAAAACTCACAAGTTATAAAACTACAAACAAAACACACATTTACCCCCATCCCAACAAAATAAAAAATAAAACACAACGGGCTCCCCACGCTCACCTGAGGGGGGGTCCCGGCACTGGGGGGTCCCTCGGGGGGTCCCCCGTACCCCCGGTAGTCCATGTCGCGATAGTCGTGATCCCGTTGGGTGCGGGAGCCGTCCTCGGAGGGGGGAGGGGCACCCCCGTAACGCCCCGTGCGGTCCCCACGGCCACCCCTGGGTGAGGAGGGTGAGGGTCAGGGGGGCCCAGAGCTCCGGGGGTCCCCAAAAATCTGAACTTCAAATCTGGACCCAAAATCCTGCACCCCAAATCTGCACCTCAAATCCTGACCCCAAATACTGGACCCCAAATCTACACAACAAATCCTGGACCCCAAAATCCTGGAGCCCAAATCTGCACAACAAATCCTGGACCTCAAATCTGGACCCGAAATCCTACACCCAAAATTTGGACCCCAAATCCTGGGCCCCAAATCTGGACCTCAAATCCTGGACCCCAAATCTGCACAACAAATCCTGCACTCCAAATCTGCACCCCAAATCCTGATCCCAAATCTAGACCTTAAATCTTTGACCTTAAATCCTGGCTCCCAAATCTGGACCCCAAATCCTGGATCTTAAATCTGCACCCCAAATCCTGACCCCAAATACTGTACCCCAAAACTGGATCTCAAATCCTGCACCCCAAATCTGGACCCCAAATCCTGCCCCCTAAATCCCGCACCCCAAATTTGTATACCTCAAATCTGTACCCCAAATCTGCACCTGAAATCCTGGGCCCCAAATCTTGGACTCGAAATCTGCACAACAAATCTACACAATAAATCCTGGACCTCAAATATGCAGCCAAATCTGGACCCCAAATGGCTCCTTCCACCCTCCAGGGTCCCCAAAGTCCCATCAGCAGTCCCCAAATGTCCCCTCACCCCGCCATGGGATCCCCAAATGCCCCCTGAGGGGCTCCCAAATGTCCCTTCCCTACCAAAAAAATTAAATTTAATTTCCTGGGGTCCTCAAGAGCTGCCCAGATATTCCCACCCACCAATCTCGAATTTTGGGGATCCCCAGGTCCCCCCTCACCTGCGTTCGTACTCCATGGTGCCAGCACCTGCGAGGGCAGCAACTGGTCAGACTAGGAGGAACTGGGAGTTACTGGGATGGACTGGGAGCAGTGACTGGAAAATTTTATGGCAAACTGGGGAAACAAGGATGGAACTGGGATGAACTGGGAGCCACGGGGCCCTGTGCAAGGGAGGAGGAGCAGACATGACCACCCTCATACTCCGCCCCTAATTAGCATAAACTACCACGCCCCCTAATTAACATACAAAACCCCATCCCTTAATTAGCATGAAAATTCCAGCCCCGAGTCCCGCTCTCACACCCCCTCCCTCACAAACTGCACCGGGAGCTCCGTTCAGCACCGCCCTTCCCGGTCGGTCCTGCCCCTCCCGGTCAGCTCCTCCCCTTCCGTTAAGCCCCTCCCATCCCCGCAGACCCCTCCCCATCCCGTTCGGGCCCGTCCCGCCCCTCACGGACGTCCCGACCTTGCCCGGCGCCGCCGCCGCCGCTGCTCCCCGGCACCAAAATGGCGGCGCCGCTCCCGCTCCGCCGGGCCCGTCCCGCGCGCCCGCCCTCGCCGCGCTCCCATTGGATTTGGGTCCCGCCAGTCCGAAAAATCAGCGTTCTTATTAGTTCATGCTGTAGAGTGGGCGGTGCAGCGTTGCGACTGGCTGTGATTGGTTGATGAGCAAAAGTAGGTGGGGCATTAATAATGTATGGGCGGGACAAGGTAAGCGCAGCGCTCTGATTTGCTGCACGATGCGGGGGCGGGACGAAACGCCAATGCGAGGTCGCGATTGGTCGGATTGAGCGGAAGAGGCGAGGCAGAGCGGCGGGGCAAGATGGCGGCGCTGTGGCGGGCGCTGCGGGCGCTGCGGGCGCTGCCCGCCGGGGCTCGGGGCCGCTCGGCGGGGTCGCCCGGGGCCGTGGCGCTGCCGCGGCCGCTCGGGGCCGACGCGCACGAGGAGGAGCCGATGTTGGTGGCGCAGAGGAAGGTGAGCGGCCAAGGGCAAAGCGGGAGGGGCGGGGCTGGGGTTTGTGTGGGGATTGCGGGTGGGCGTGGTCTGTGGGGGGCGTGGCTTGGGGCGTGGCTACTCTTGGGTGGGGTTTAATGTGCATGACTGGAAAGGGCGTGGCCTAGTTTGAATAGGCGTGGTATAAATGTTGTGGGCGGGGCTTTAGGAGTTTAAGGGAGTTGTGAATGGGCGTAGCTTTGTGGGCGGGGCCTGATTTAGGGCGTGGCGTCACCGCCTTCATGTGGTTTTGTGGCTGTGAAGGGGCGGGGCCTGGAGGGGGCGTGGCCTGGGCTGAATGAGGGGACATATTTGGAAACCATGGGTGTGTCTGAAGGAGGGGCGTGGCCAGGAAAGGGCGTGGCCAGTGCTGGGCTTTATGAGGGGGACACACCTGGGTTTGGGGCTCAGGTGACTCCTATGGCCCAGTGCTCCTGAAGAGGGGGTGGGACACACCTGGAGATCCTGGAGGAGAGGGTGGGACACACCTGGAGGTCCCGGAGGAGAGGGTGGGACACACCTGGACAGGACAGGGGGCTCACAGGACCCTCCCCACACAGAACCCCGACTACCATGGCTTCTCGGCCGACCCCGACGCCGACGTACTGAACATGCGCGCTGCCTTCCTGGCCGGCATCTCCGTCGCCATCGTCCTGGGCTCTGTCTTCGTCCATTACCTGCCCGACCACGGGTCCGTGATCATAGGGTCTCACCTGGGAAAAACCCCCCCATGGTGAAGGGGGGGCGGGGGTCAGCCCCAAGGGGAGCTTGTGGGGAAGCTATGGAGGGGCTCTCAACTCCCATTTTAGGGTCTATGTGGGTTTTTTGGGAGTCTGTGGGTGTTATAGGGTCTCCTGAGAGTTTTGTAGGAGCTTTCAAGTGGATTTAGGGGCCAACAAGACCCCTATACAGCATATGGGGGTTTTTATGATATCTTTGGAGGTTTTGAGGTCTGTAGGGGCCGTGGAAGCTCTGGGGGTGTCTGTAGGAGCCCCTGGGGGACCTAGGAGAGGATTTAGGGGGCTACAGAGCCCCGTGGAGGGCTATAGGGGGGCTGAGGGGGGTTAAGGTGGACTCTGGGGGGCGTATAGGGACCGATAGGGATACCTGGGCCTTTGAGGAGGGAGGAATTCGGACACCTGGCAGGGGGTTTGGGATGTCCCCGTGGATCCTCAAGGTGTGGGGCTCACCTGTCCACCCCCTCCCCCGCAGGCTGCAGCAGTGGGCCCGGCGCGAGGCCGAGAGGCTGGTGCGGGAGCGGGAGTGCCGTGGGGAGCCCCTGCTCACCTCCAACTACTACAACCCCAAGTGTCTCCCCCTGCCCCCCCCGGAGTGACCCTCGGACCCTCAGCCGTCTTCCCCGGAGTGACCCCGCACCCCGGTGTTGGTTTGTGAATAAAGTTCTGGTTTCCCCCGACTCCTGCGCCTTTCATTTTGGGGGGAGGAAGAAGAAACTACATCTCCCAGCGAGCCTTGCGGCCTGGTGACGTCACCAGGCAGCGACACCACGCGGAAATGGCGCTCTGGCCTCCACTGACTCGAAACGCTTCTCAAGAGACCACATCTCCCAGGGAACCTTGCGGTTTTATGACGTCACCAGGCAGCGACATCACGCGGAAATGGCGCCCTGGTCCCCACGGCCCCTCCCAGGTTCCCCTGTAGCTCCCCACAGCCCCTGTAAGACCCCCATGGCCCCCTAGAGCCACTCAAGCCCCACATAACCTGCGAGGGAGCCCCTCTAGGGCCCTGGAGAAACTCGAGGTTCTCCACGCTCCCCCTGAGCTGCCGCAGACCCGCCTCGATCCTCTATAGCCCCCTCAGGTGCTCCCCACTCCCCTGTTAATCGCCACCTTTGGCTTTGGGACCCCCCTTAGGCTCCCATAGGTTCCTGCATTACTTCGGAGCCCTTTATTGAAATTTTTCCATGCAGTTCTACAAAGTTGTGCAATTCGGCATGACACTACGTAAAGTCTTCCGCGATTTCCTGTGCGCTCTTTAAGCGCTTCTACGAGTCTCTGATCGGCTCCTATCAGCCCCCAAAAACCTTCCTTGGGTCCCTATAGCCCCCCAAGGGCCCCTATAGCTGCCAGGCCCCCCCGTACCCACCAATAGCCCCCCGCGCTCCGCCTTTTCTATCCCAGTGTCCTCTCTCGGCCGCCGTCGGGGCGGCGCGCGCCGCGCCGTATCACGAGGCTGCGCAAGAGGCGTGGCCTTCCTCATCCGGGACCCTGCGGCAGGAAAAGGGGCGTGGCCAGCCGGGGCGCGCCCGCCCAATCCTCGCGTCGGGTGAGGCGGGCAGGGAGGGGGGCGGGCGGTGGCGGGAGGAGACAGCCAATGAGAGCACGGCGCCGGGCGGTGCCGACCAATGGGAGAGCGTGGGGGGCGGGGCCCCGCGCGCGCAGGGAGGGGGCGGCGGGTGGCAGCGGCCGCGGCCGCCATCTTGTCGCGGAGGAGCCGAGCGGAGCGGGCGGGACCCGGCGGCGGGGCCTGGACAGCGACATTGGTGCGGGGCCGGCGGCGAGCCCGGGGGTGCTCGGGGGCTGCTCCGGTCTGCAGGGGAGCGGGGAGGTGGCCCCGGGTCCGGCCAGTGCGGCCCCGCCTTGCGGGATCCAGCACCGGGCCTGAGGGGGCTGGGGGGGAGCCGTGAGGGGGAACCGCCCCCCCCACAGCGGGATCCTCAGGATGGGGAGCGCGGGGGGAACCGCGACCCCCGCTCGGGGAGCCCCGGGGATGGGGAACCTCCCTGGGTGGGACCCCCGGGGATGGGGAACCTCCCCCGGTTAATGGAGAACCCCGCAAGGGAGGCCCCGAGGGCGGGACCGGCCCGGGATGGGACCCCCGGGACCCGCCCGGGGCTGGGAGCGCTCTCAGGGGCGGGGGCGGTGCCGTGCCTGGCTCTGAGGGTGCTGGTGCGCTTTGATGTCCCTCAGTGCCACCTCGCTATCCCCAAGTGTCCCTCCCCACCCTTCTGTGTGTCCGTCCATCTCTGCGTGTCGCTCTGTCCGTCCCCGGTGTCACCGGGGCGGTGACGGCCAATGGGACAGCGCGGGGGAGCTGTCGCACCTGGTGGCTCCGCCCGTGACCCCATTCACCTGGTGTGTCACCGTCTGTGCCACCTGGTGTCACCCTCCGTGTCCCCGCTGTCACCTGGTGTCACCCTGCATCACCCTCTCCATCCCTGCTGTCCCTCGTTGCCATCTCCGGTGTCACCTGGTGTCACCTCCAGCATCATCCCCTGCCCCCGGTGTCACCTCTCGTCACTTTATGTGTCGCTGTGTCCTGTTCAGTGCCACCCTGTGTGTCACCCCCTGCAGCTGGTGACCTCAGGTGGCCACATTTGTCACCTCTTGTCCCCAGCATCGCCCCGTGTCTCTTTCAGTGTCCCCACTGTCCCCAGCACTGTCCCCGTGTGACCCTGCCTGGCTTCTGTCCCTGTCCCTAAATGTCCGGCTGACCCCTGGCTGTCCCCAAATGTCCAGTTCCCTGCTGTCCCTGTCCCTGGATGTCCCCAGATGTGCCCTGACCCCATCCTTGTCCCCAGATGTCCCCAGCTGTCCAGCTGCCCTCTCCCCACGGATGTCCCTACTCTCTCTTTGTCCCCAGATGTCCCCGTGTGTCCCCTGACCTGTCCTTGTCTCCAGGTGTCCTCTGTCTGTTCCTGTCCCCTGCCTGTCCCTATATCCAGATGTCCCCTGATGTCCCCAACTGTCCCCAGCTGTCCCTGACTGTCCCTGTCGCCATATATCCTCTGAATATCCCTGTCCCCAGATGTCTCCAGGTGTCCCTGATGTCCCTGTCCCCTCACTGTCCATGTCCCCATATGTCCCTGATTGTCTTCTCACTGTCCCCAGCTGTCCCTGATGTCCCTGACTGTCCCCAACTGTTCCCAGCTGTCCCTCACTGTCCCCTCATGTCCACAGCTGTCCCTGATGTCCCTGTCCCCAGCTTTCCCTGATGTCCCTCCCTGTCCCCAGCTGTCCCCTGACTGTCCCCTCGCTGTCCCCAGATGTCCCTCACTGTCCCTGATGTCCCAGCTGTCCCTGATGTCCCTGTCCCCAGCTTTCCCTGATGTCCCTCCCTGTCCCCAGCTGT